ATAAAATATTATTTAAAAAATATATTAACAATATTATTCATTTATGATGCTGTCCCCTATGCTTATCCTGTACTCTACAAAAAGAAAATAAAAATATAAAAAGAAGTCAAAAAATTTTATTTATTTAAACTAAATTTTAATCAACGTATTTATTTATAATATCAATTCAGAGTACAAATTGTTAAATTAATATGTACATAATTTTATAATCATATACAAATATTTATACTAAAAAAAAAAATATATACGTAATATTACAAATATTTGTACTATTTGTAATAGAAAAAAAAAGTAATAAAAAGTAAGAAAATAAAGAAACGAATACTCGTTGTACTTTCATCACTTACATCGAGTAGTTTTGTTAACTTGAAACATTAAAACCTTATCGCTTTAACTAGAATTAGAATATTACGAGAACCTTAGATTACTAATTGTTTGGTAATTAATAATTACTCCACACGTATAAAGAAACAAACAGATAATTTGAATGATAAATCTTTAGGGCACCTAAAAATACTACTACACCGCAGACTAGATCATTTTGTTTTTTTTTTCTAATTTACAGAATCTTCGAAAAGATACGATACTATTTCGGCAACTCGAGCGAATCGATACCGATGTCCTTCGTCCTGGGATTTTACGTGAGTCTCGTAGTGAAAAGATGGTGGGAGCAATACAAACTTTTACCGTGGCCAGACAATCTGGCCCTTTTCATCAGCGCCGCCATCCCTGGAAACGTAAGTAGAAACTACGAAAGTTCTTTTCTACGATATATCTCGATCTTTCTTTTTAACTCTCATACGAGTCCAAAAAGAAAAAATAAAAAGATGTCAAAAAATGCAAACCAAAAAACCGAAGAAAAAATAAGAAAAATCAGGAGCCAAAAGTCTTTCGAAGAGTTAAGACAAAATTCTGAGAAGGATCAGAGAATGTAACAATTCCCCTAATCTCACCCATTTCTTTTTCTCTTAATACGAATCGAATCGATGAATAGAAACGTCCAAGTTCATCCAACTGCATAAAGTTGCCACTCCGAATTGGATGTATCGTTTAAATCCAGCGGATTGTTGCCCTCGAGCAACTAATACCTAAGTCTAGGTATACTAGAATACCTTATAATTCATCAAATAATAAATAATCAAGATATTCGTTTTATAGGTAAATGATTATCTTTTTGTAGGTTTAATTTTTTTTTTGTCAACATTATCTTTATGTTGCAGAATACTCGATGCTAGAATACTCGAGAAGGCTAAAGAAATAAAATGAAAAAACGAATATGCGTGGCCTCGTGTTATTATATTGAAAATAACCAATTGATTTATATATGTTACCGCTAAAGTGCAGAAATCAGTTATTCTGCACATTAACTAGGGTGATCCGTTAAAGTGCCGAAAATTGTTTCATTTCTTTAATTAACTAGGTAATCTGCACATTACCTCTCGTTAAAGTGAAAATAAGATCTTTGCTGGAACAACAGTAACGTTCCTGTACGCTTAAATTAACATAATGTTATTTATTTATTTTTCGATATTTAAAAATTCAAGTTAATACAATCAAAAAATTAGTTTTTTTTTTTTTTATTAACTTCATACATCTTTACAATTTGTCCGTAGAAATTTGGTAAATTGTTATATAAATGAAAAAAGATAGCACATGGACGGTTTCTCCAATGAGATAGCGTCGCTATTGTCATTTATTTCGGTTAGGTTTAAATTTTTACTAGGTCTCCTAGCTGGATTTTTTTGAGCCTTCTAGGAATATATTGGTTATAGTTATCGTTGACTAGCAGGTTTATGCGCGTATCAATTCTTCTTTTGTATCTACAGGTTGTCTTGGTTATTTCTTCTTCTATCGTGGGAATATATAAGTCCTTCCTTATTTCTTCGTTACGGACGTAACATGGAGCATTCACGATTGTGCGTAGGGTTATGGATTGTTGAGCCTCGAGCTTGGCAATGTGACTTTTCGCTGCTATAGCCCACAGCGGTAATCCATAGGTCTGGATTGGTTTTTTATTGCTTTGTAGATTATTAGTTTGTTCTCTATGCTAAGTTTAGATTTTTTACCAGTTAGCCAAACTATTTGTCTCCTTTTCAGACGAATTTGTTCAATTTTTACATTTATATGCTTTTTCCATGTTAGTTTGGAATCTAGATGTAGTCCCAAATATTTGACCGTAGTTACTTGCGGAATTTCTGTATTTTATAGTTGTAGTTTCAGTATTTGGTTTTTCCTCAATGTAAACGTGATATGTTTACACTTAGTAGAGTTTACCTTAATCTTTCTATTACGTAACCATTCTTCAAGAGAGTTGATTTGTTTTTATAACGATTGAATTGTTTGTTGCGGGTCCTTGTTTATGATAAGCATTGCCATGTCATCTGCAAATGTTAAGACTGTGCAGTTTACGTTTATTGGTATGTCTGCCGTATAGAGAGTGTAGAGTTCCCTGCGGAACCCCAACTTTGATTAGTTTGATGTTCGAATGAGTGTCTTTTATTTTTACATAGAATGTTCCGCTCGAAAGGTAAGATTTCAGGAGTTTGTAATACGAGTGTGGAAAGTCTTTATTGATTGTTTGTAATAATCCGTGATGCCACACTTTATCGAAAGCTTTTTCTACAACAAATTAATTGATAAAATCAATCATCAATCAATTAAAAAACTATAATATTGTAGAAAGAGTCAAACGGTTTAAAATATTATTATAATATAATTAAGGAAATGAATTTGCAAAACATATGATAAAATTATGCTTACTTAATAATGCAATCTAAAGATTGATGATACTTTGAATTACACAGCAAGGATTACAAGATAAGGACATCTATCTGTCATACATTTCAATTTGCAGTCATATTTTTTGAAACCTTGTCCAGTACCAAGGGATTATTTTATTGCTGTTTGATGTAAAAATATTTCTACAGCAAAGACATCTTTTTTCGTTAAAAATCTATCTTTGCAAACACTGAATTCAGATTTTACATACAATTATTTTAAAATAATCGTTTTAGTACCAATTCTATAAAAGAATGTTCACTGTTTCACTAACAATAAGAACTACAGCTAAAATCGAGCGGGCATCAGTTTTTGTTCAATCAACTTCAGATATTTTAATTTTCACAGTGGCACCTTCATCGACATTTGGGTGCTTTGCATTGGAAACTGCTAACATTTTAACGATACGGAAGCCATTAATGTGCATATTATCTAGATAAAATGCTGAAAACACTTGATTCCACACGTTAACGGAGCAAATCAGGTAATCTGTAGATTAGCTAGGTAATGTGCACATTAACGGCTCTCAAGCTTGAGCGGTAACATATACAATGAGTGTCCTTTAAAATTGTATATCCTTACGTTTATTAGATTTTTTCTTGAAAACTATTGATATAGTGTTTAGGATTAAAAAATCTAAAAATAAATATATTAGTATATATTCATTAGTATATACAGTAAAACCTGTTTTTGTGCGGTGGATAGGGACCGCATAAAAGAAATCGTACAAAAAAATATTTGAAAATTTTATAAATTCTTACATATAATAAACAACTTTGTACGATATACTGCCTAAAAATTTTTTTATGCGGTGGATAGGGACCGCATAAAAAAAGTCGGATTTAGAAAATACATCAATGATTTATGAAATAGATGGGAGAATGCTTTCAATTAAATACAATAATTAAATTAGACCTAAAGAAATTGTAATAATATTTAATTTTTCATTGTACATATAAATGGAGAAGTTTTCAAATTATACGTTAAATAGTTTGCTGCTACTCGTCGTAATCCAAAACGCGCATCTTCTTGTGATGAATTGGTTGAAAATCGCTTTCGTCGCTTGAAGATAGGATTTCAATTGATTTATTTTTGGTACCATAAAGTCAGTGATCAGTTTTTGTGACGACGGTCGACTGGTCAATTGCTTGTAAACGTCACGATAGTGAGACATGCATGATCTGAGCTCTTTTTGGAATTTTAAGCGTCTTTCGGCATTGGTATCTATTTKAAAAAAATRCGTTTCCAATTTTTTCGAAATCTGGATCCCTGCATATATTTTATCTGCTGTAATAGATTCCAGTTCTTCCCGTCCATTTTCATAATCTATCAAACTATTGATAATGTCACTATCATCCACAGCTTGGTCCTCAATCATTTCGTTCAGGTCATTATCGCTGAAAGAATCAAAGCCTTCTCCGCCGATGTTATGTGYGAGCGCACTAATTTCAGATAATAACGTTGACGCGTTTTCGGTAACGTTTCGATTAATTACACATTCAGGCCAAATCACTTTCCAGCACRAATTTAATGTGTGTTGTTTGATTTGTCCAATTGCTGCAATAATATGGTTTATGCAGTCTAAAATTGAGAATTTTTTCCAAACTTCGGTCAGGCTTAATTTATCGTTCTCTAGCTTTTTTAAAATGTAGCTGAAAGTTAATTTGATATAATGCGAAGTCCAGATATATCGTTGTCAAGTTCGTAATCAGAGTTCGTCCACAACATTTATTATCGATTTATTAACAATCATATAAGGTATATTGAACATATTTGAGATTGTTTAAGCAACATACATTTCTTTTAACGTTCCTGGCCAATGATGTTTTTGAAGTTGAAAATTTGCAACTAATAAAATATCAGATCAAAATTGTTTATTCGAAGTATATGTAATTTTTAAACAAATGTACTTTGTTTTATTGTTACTTTAATCGATATTGGTCTACTTGAGACACGCTTGAATTGGACCGCAATATCGTAATTAGGAATATTTCAAGTAACGTTATTGTTCTATCAAATTTCAGAAAGGACTAAAATATTTGATAGTTTTTAAAATTCTTTTTATATATTAGTCAACTCATGACTGGCTTCTTTTCTTTCTTTTGTATCTTTTCTCTCGCCTTTCTCATCTCTACTCATCCTTCCATAATCAAACATATTTCGTAATAACAATCGATGGAAATATCTCATCATATATACAAACACACAACACTGTCACTAACACTAACACTTGAAGCTTTCATAATCTCGTTCAACCGTCGATCGACAGGTCTCACTTTCTCACCCCACACACACGCGCGCGCGCGCACACGCACAATTATATAGTTGGTTTTATCTTATTCTCTTTCTCTCTCTCCCTACTTGTACGTCCTCTCTCTTTTTAGTATCGTTTCATAAAATTTTGTCGTTACTGTCGCTTAAGAAGTTACAGTTTACAAAAATAAACACTTAGTAATAACAGAAACGCATCCTTTTTTACGAGCAAAGTCGTTCAAGAGATAATCGATGTAGCCTTACAGTCAAGCTGTCGGCAGCCTATGTTGCGCTTGTGTCTCATTACGCTAATGAATTGCCGTGACACGTTTTGGTGTCGTTAACCCAAGTAGGTAACAGTCGTACCAGGCCACGCCCAGAAGCGAATAAAAAATAATTTACGCCAAACTAACACGCATCCAACAGAAGAATTTACATTCTTTCGATTTTCTTTCTATTATTTCTATCGTTTCTATCATTCAACTTTGTAACAGTTGACATTGAATTACATTCATCCGTATATCGATTAACCTTGACATACATATCTATAATACTTCATTAATTACTAAAAATCTGAATAAATTAGAACAGTAAAGAGCACTTTGCTACGCTTTAAATGAATTACTATCGATTTAATAGAAAACTGTTTACTCAAGTTTTATACGCAACCTTTGTTATGGTGAACTAGTTTAATGGTTTGTGGTAA